CAGGCCCCGCCCTTCCGTTGGCGCCTGCGCGCGAGCGGAGCGGCCCGGCTGAAGGCAACAGGCCTACCCCGCCTGTGGCCTGTCCTGACACCCCGAAGGATGCTGGGTTACCTTGGGGTCACTTAAAACGTCTGCACTGCGGGAGCCTGAGCTGGAACCGCTGCGGCACCAAAGCCGAGCTGCCCGTGGGACCTGCCTCTGGTTCAGCTGTTTGCGTGCAAACTCCAGCAGTTTAGTGAAACGCCACAGAAACCGAGTTTAGGCAGAAGCGCCAGGGTTTGCCCAGAAGTGCCTGGGGCACCTCGTTTTGGCTCTGGAACTGAGACCAAGTGGAGACCGATTGCCCTGCCTGGAAATTAAGACATGAAAAGTTAAGTTCCCCCCTTACTGGCAGCATCTACTCAGCTGTTTTGGTTTTCCACTGAGTTGATGCAGCCATGAGAAAAACCTGGCCCATCCACAGGTGTTGGGCAGCCTGGCTGTGGCTCGTGGAAGCCCTTGGCACATGGGCCACACACGGAATGCTCCACCTGACTGAAGCAGTCACACATACCTGAAGGTTTGAGTGGGTTTCCCATGTCACCCTACACGCTCCTGCATGGTACGATCATCTCCCCTTCTGTCCGTCCCCCTCAGACCCATCCTGGCAGCAAATGTCAGGCCAAGGGGAAGGAGAAACGCACAGGAACTGTTGCAAAACCAAAGCCCTCCAGCACTGTGCTCTAGCTCTAATTCCCCAAGAGATAATCCATATGCAAAATTAATCGGTATACTGAGCAGCAACAACAGGTTTTCAAGCCCAAGACGTAAAACAACAGAAAAAACCCTACTCCTTTGGTATGAGCCGCTCCTCACTGAAAAGAAGGGGATGAGCAGGCCAGGAGAGTCTACAGATTTCAGAAAGCGCCAGTATGTCAATGATTTAGAGTGATCAGTGTAGAAATCTCTGAACAGCAGTAAATTGGCTATCAATCAGACACAAAGGACTGTTCACACCACTTAAGACCACATCTCCTCTAAAAAAGAGTATTTTTCAATCTGCTGGCTCAAAGAAGGAAATCCAGTGGAGTTGAAAAGTTCCTGTAATACTTGCTAATACTGAGTCAAATCCGTTATCACACATCCTGCTGACTGAAATGCTGTGGGCTGGTTGAAAATAAACTAGTTTGAACTTGCCAACATGTTCCTTAAATTTTTTAAAAAATATATCTCTGAATAAAAGGAAGCTGTGCTATTAGAAAACACAGGCGCTAAGATATAAATTCAAAGCTTCTCTTTTTCCATTTGCAATTACTTTTTTTCCCACAAATGCTCAAGAATCCCAAAAGTTGACATAGTAATGAAAAAAAAACCCAAAACCACTGTAACTGTCAACATGAATACAGTACATAATATCAAGTTTCCCCATAACCCCTGAAGTGTGTACGTAGCAGCGTCTGCAACAGATGTGCCCCATGAGCACTGTCATTCCCATCAAGCTTCCCAGGTTTGTCCTGGCCTCTGTCATAAGCCAGTCTACGAAAAAAGATCTGCTGGCAATCACTGTCAACAGCAGGTCCCTTCTGACCCTTTCTCATTAATGAGAATTGAAAGAGTTTCGTTTCCAAAGACAATCATTTTCAGAAACATCACAAAAAACATGATAGATCGTTCCTCAGCATTTCTTTATTCCCTGTCTGCAGCGATTCTGCAAGCGCTTTGTCCGCAGGCAGCAGAAAACAAGTGGTAGATGTGGCAGATGGGAATATCGCTATCAACAGCCTCTGTCAGCAACAGATCATTTTAGTAACTTGCGGAAAAGTTCACCTTGTTGTCCCCAGCTCTATCTGTTCTTTCCCATCACTTTAGTTACAACAATAATCCTATTTTTAAATAAGTTACATAACTGAGCATTCTGGTGCTTCTTAAGATTTCACCCCAAGTATCTCACGCTAGCTACCATCAGTAATAAAAATGTGTAATTAAATTGCTGATATACATTGCTGATAGAACCAGCACCATTTCAACCACTATGCAGTGAGATATTCGGATGCCTCTGCTAACACAATGAACAGTGCATTAACGGAAACAAGTCGCTCATTCTTACTTGTACGTCTAAAGGTCTTTTGTAATGGTTTGTTGATCTAGCCAACAGTCATTTTGCTAAAATAGCAGATGTCAGTCAAACGCCTCAAAGGAGCAAGTGATGGAAACACTAAATAGCCAGAACAGCTAAATTATGTCAATTCATCTCTCTGCTGCATCTTATGTGTTCAGACATTTGATGAAGCAAAAAGATTACCACATTGCAGCACCAGGACAAAACAGGAAAGAGGAAATTTAAACTACTCAAGTTTAATACCATGGTTCCTGTAATAGGAAGGTCACAGTTTATCCCCAGCTGGCAGCTGAGCACCACACAGCTCACTCGCTCCCCCGCTGCCCAGCGGGACGAGGGCAGAATCGGAAGGGTAAAAGCAAGAAACTCACTTGTGGGTTGAGATAACAACAGTTTAATAACAAAAAAGAAATAATAATGATTTTTAAAATTACAAGGAAAATATGAAAAAAAAAACTCAGCGAGAGGAAAAGAAAGCCCAAGGCAGACAGCTGATGCAAATGAAAACAATTGCTCACCACCAGCCAACTGATGCCCAGCAAGTCCCCAAGCAGCAACCCCCCCCCAACCTCTTCCCCCTGTTTCTATGCTGAGCATGACATCAGATGGTGTGGAATATCCCTGTGGTCAGTCAGCTGTCCCAGCTGTGTCCCCTCCCAACTTCTTGTGCACCCCCAAGCCTACTCGCTGGGATGCATTAACTCTATCCCAGCCAAAACCAGCACACCTGGTGTGTGCTCAATGCACCTGTACTCAATGCCGAGCTATCTTTACACATGGGCCACCTGTGGGTCCCAACTCAAATTTGGTGCTTTAGCAGGTGAGTTATTAGCATACCAATGAGATATTTGAAACAGTCAAACATAACAATGGAATTTTTTTTTCTATGGTTTTCTTAGTTCCCTCTTCAGCACTGCATATCATTTTTCTTACATGCATGTTCTAGAGTGATTTCACACATAGTGTCCCATCTGCCAACAAGAGTAATGTAAGCATGTTACATCAAGTCTTTTGAAAGCAGTGAGCTGCCTTTTTTTTTTTTTAACAGTGCATGAAAACCTTGTAAAGAGAGGTGAATAGAAGAAACCTTAATACCTTACTGCTGTTTTGAGGCCACACAACCCCATTATGTATCTGCTCACCTGCCAATGACGTGGCTATCTCCAGGAAATCTTAGATCATAGAAGAAGGGTTTTAAAAAATACTTAGAGAACTGTGCTCTGTAGCTGTTACCTTCAAGCAGCATGATGCAATGATGTTTAGAACATTTTATATATAACAATGCTGAAAATAACATTACTTGTGTAAGTTTTAATTGCATTGAAAAGCACCTGTTTCAAGGACAAGAAACCACAGTTCAAATACTTTATTGTTTTGTATTGTTTCAGAGGCTTAAGAAATTTTGATTCACATAACAGAGGCATTTCATAGAACCCTATGTTTCTGCCATGTATTTATGCTACAAAAAATTTCTTATTTTTATAAAAAAATTTACTTTTCAATTAAAGGGGCAGAGTATTTTACATTTTCCTTTCCCAAATTATCATGCAGCTCAACAGACTGTTGCACTGCTCTCTTGGTTCCTGCAACAGCACAGCTCCCCAGTGCAACTTAGATAAACAGATTTTAAGTCCATGTGAAACAGAGTGTAGATGTCACAGGACTTTAGTACCTTAAAGAAAAAAAAACAGTTCCTCCTGGAATTTAATGTAGGAATTTCCACATGAAATTCATGCTGAAATTTAAGTAATTTTAATTATTACATTGATTTTCTACACAAAGACTACCTACCAAGTTAAAAATACCAGCCAAGCATCTTCTGGTGAGATTTGGGGAATGGCAGTGCAAGAGAGCTACTGAGACTACAGAAGTCCCTGCTCCTTGACTCCCAACAGCCCAAGACCAAGGAGTATAATGAAAAGGCCTAGCAGCTGTTCTCACAGTCCAGTTTGAACCATTTTTTTTTAGGCCCTGGCCATAGTCTGATGGAATTCAGTTAAGATTCTAGCTGTGTGATCACAGAATGAGTAAAATATTTGCAAGACTAGCTATTGAATTAAACAGTCCTTTATCAGCTGATTTTGAAACGAAGTTAGTTGAGCTCCATAGCACAATATTAGCCCTACCTCCATGTTTCTCCTAGATTTAGAGAGTTTGAAATAAGTTTGGTGTGAAGTTACCAATGTTGTGAGCATGCTAAGAAAAAGTATGACAGGTTTAATTATGTCGCTGTATCTCTGGTTGTGAAGGAGCCTCTAAAGCAAGGTCTTTTATTTTGCTTTGTAGATTCATTCATGTAATAAATACATCGTTAGACATGAGTAAAGAAAATTCCTATTCTAGATGCCACTTTTATAATTTTATGGAGGACTAAATACTTTCAGAACAGCACACATGACTACTGTGAGAAGATAAAATAGTAATTATGGAACTTAGCACTTTTCAATCTTGCCAACAGTATAAACACTCCATAGATTTAACTCAGTCTCTATATTTAAACTGATGCAATTTGTGCATGGACGGGGTAGGTAGGTATGTATGTAGAAAATCACTGTAATTATCTAATATGAGGTATATCTTAATTTTCCTCCACTGCAGGGTATTGGGTTTCACAAACCACAGTGTTTAAGTCTCACTGTAGTTTCTATACTATCTCATACCAAAATCACCTCTCACTTTTTTCTTTTAAGCTTTAAAATACCTACATCATGTATTTATTTTAAACAGTCCTACACAATTTTGTCTTTCATTACAAGAAGTTAATCCCATTAAAAAAAAAAAAATTAAGTAAATGATTTTGAAAAGACTGAAAATAACCTTTGGGTTGCATTACACACATTTCAGTAAATCATTTTAACTTCTCAGCAGGTGGCAGCACAAAAGTATTTACAATGTCATATTAGTTCTTACTGTATTAAATTTGCAATAAAATAACTACTATTAGATAATTATACCGGATGGAAGAGTTAATAAGAAGATCAGTCTGTCTGTTTATTCCAGTTCTTCAGGATCACTTCAGCTGCATCTAGTGTGCTGTCTTTCTACAAAACAAGGAACACAAGGAACAGCACTATTACTGCAAGTATGGAGCTCTTGAAGAGAGAGTAGCAGTCATGATTATATCATCCCAAACCATTATTTGGCCGTTTCTCTTGCATCCTGTAAATATCTGTCAGTTTTTCATTAATAGTTGTAGCTACAGATCTAGACTACACAAAGAATTCAGTGCATTCCTTACAGATATTTATTAGGCATACTTAAAAGATAACATTTTCTCAGCATTCATGCTATCAAATTTACTGAATGCAATACTTCCGTGCTGGTTTTAGTTGGGATAGAGTTAATATTCCTCACAGTAGCTAGTATGAGGCTATGTTTTGGATTTGTGCTGAGAACAATGTTGACAACATCCTAACATTTTCAGTTGTTGCTAAGGAATATTTATATCAAGGCAAGGACTTTCTCAGTTTCTCACACTGCACAGCCCAGACAGCTGACCCAACCTGACCAGAGGGACATTTCATTCCATAAAACATCATGCTTCATATGAAAGTTAGAGGAGTTGGCAGGAAGGAGAATCACTGCTTGGGGACTGGCTGGGCGTCAGTTGGCCGGCGATGAGCATCATTTTGTTTACTTTCCCTTTCTTTAATTACATGTTATTATCATTAGTAGCAGCAGTATTTTATTTCATTTACATTCAATTATTAAACTCTTCTTATCTCAACCCACAAGTTCCCTTATCTTTTTCCTCTGATCCTTTCCCCCACCCTCCCTCCCACCCGGGGGGGGGGGTGTTGGATGAGCAAGCAGCTGTGTGGTGCTTAGCTGCTGACTGGGGCTAAACCACAACAAATTCTCATACAAATGCCTGGCATTTATGCAGTGATGTACCTGGCAGCTCTACATTGGAGACATGCTAGCATAGTTTCCTATCTTTATGTGTACAGTTGGGATTTTTAAATCGCCATGCAACCAAGTTTTGCTGTGAACTACTTAAACATAATCCCTCTAAATATGGGTAATCCATTCACTGGCCACCACACTGGTGGTGTGGCTTGGCTACAACTTGCTGAGTCACACAAGTAGTCTTTAACTTGATGTGATTAATGCTGCTCATCATGGGCAAGCCACATTTACAACCAGCAAGTTTCATCCTGGTTGTTACTGGCTCACTTTATATCATAGGCTTTATACCTCATCAAAAGAGCTAAGTAACACAAGCAGAAACTCCTCTTCGTTACTGGTTCAAGAGAAGGCTCCGATCTTTATACCAGTACAGTTAAGGAGTTGCACATGTTCCATTATGCTGACTGTTACAGAACAACTGGGAAACATTTTAGAGCTGTGGGCTTATCAAAGCTTATGTACCTGTCCTCCAAGTCTTTCAGTCTTTCAAGAACAGATTCAACAGGAGGAAGAACATGGGAAGAAAAGGTGCTCACAAAATGGCAAAAGTCAGCCAATTCACAAAAAGCATGTAAGGTAACTTCCTGTGTCTTTGTTTTCGTCTGTAACTAGGAGCTCATGTGAAACCCTTTGTATTTTCAGGCAAGCAAGTTAAACCTGAAGGTGACCTCTTCCCTGTTTGTGTTGTTGGAAACTGAACATGGGGTACACCACTCTGCTATACAATTCTTCTCTGCTCTGGATTGTAGAATCCACCTTAATTGACAGCATACCTGTGTCACCCCAGCACACACAGTCACAACTGGCCAAGGTGG